CTACAGTGTTGTTGGCATTTTGCTCCAAAAGTCAGTTTCAAAAATTGACTCTGCGTGGAAGGTCCTATGGCTTTAAAGCTTTAACTCTTTGAACGTGCTAAGGATGGAGCTGAACCTGAACCTGGAATGCACTATAGAGAATGTGTTCCTTCCGATGAATATATCTATAGTCCATTACATTTAAGAATGGAGTAGATGTCCCTACAAAACGAGACCGGTTTACACAGGAGAACGCGGTAAATTTAAATATTATGGCAGTTGTCGCTGATGTACTATACCACGAAAAAATAATTTACTATACTAATTAAGACCTTTAGAAACAAATATATATATATATATATATATATTGTAAATCAATAATACGGAATTAGAGATAAAATTTAATTGAAAAACATAACCTTAATTATTCGACTGCATTCCTTATTTAAATATCAGTGTGACTTTTTAAGTGGAACATGGTACATATTTTAATGTTTTAACAAATTTGTAAGATTTTGTAATATAAAATTCGGTTATTAACAAATAGTCTGAGTTTTATTAAAAAAGTAAGAAAAGTTAAATGGTTTATAAACGGAAAAATCCATTTTTTATTTCAGTGTAAGCATATCTACATCCATGGATTTAAAACATTGCATTTTTTAATATAATATATACCTACATACCTACCATATTACCCTAATAGAGAAATTTCGGTTAAAACGAACCATGGTCCATTATGATTCGTTATAAGCGGATACTACTGTAACATTATTTGTTAAGGAATGTTTAACATAATTGATTAAGTGAAATTAATTAAAACAATATATATATTCATCGATTTCTATTTTAACAAATAATTAAATTGGGGTTAAAGTATTGTACCTAACTGATATTAAAAAAATAAATACCTACCTATTATAAAAATTTTTGTGGAATTTTATAAAATTGATTCTGAACAACTACTACCATGGGGTCCCTACTTACCCCACTGAAATAGGCTGTTTAAAAACTTTTTTTTCTGAGGTAAGGCTTAAAGAAAATATAAATGCAATTAATATAACTTTTATTAAAAGCCAACACATCAAGTTAACCATTTTCAACTTGGTCATAAAATTAATACATCAATTGAGGAGCATCCGTGCAAAACCGACTAAATCCATTTTTATTCAGTTTTTGTTTTTTTTGATTTCGGGTTCATTTCTATCGACAACCAAGATAATTCTGTTTAAATCCGACTAAATCCATGTTAATATCACATTTAAAAGGTAGCTTTAGGAGCAAAACCGGCCAAATCCACGTTTTTATAGCAAACCCGGCTATATCCAATAAATAATAATATGTGGCTTGGATATGTCGATACTAGGTACTACCAAAATTTGTTCTGTTTTTTCTTGTTTGCACTACACTCAAAAAAATATTTAGTAAATTTACACATCTGATCGTTGGTTATTTTGATGCCACGTATTTAAATGTATATGGACAAACATACTGTAAAACTACATATAATGTGTAAAAATGCAAAGGTCATGTAAATCTAAAATTTAGGAAAATAATAGTACAAGTACATTAAAAATTGTAAAAGCACATAAATTTAAGGATTTATTACATAATAATATAAAAAACTACATATTAATTTAAAAAAATACATAAACTGATGCTATTTTACTTATGTAAGTATGTGTGTACATGTTTTATATGGAACAACACATTTCTTAAGTAAAAACAGAAATAAATGTGTGTTTGGATGTGTAAAATTTCGTAAATTTTTTTCAGTGTACTACCAAAATTTGTTCTGTTTTTTCTTGTTTGCACTAAATTTATTTTGTTAATATTTAATAAGAAAGGTTTTTTTCACATTTTATTCGTTTTTTATTCGGTTTTTGTGTAAAACCGGCTATATACAATTTTTTTTTGAAATTTTGACCTTAATACAAACAAAAGTATGTCTTATAAATCAAGTACCACAAAGCCCACAAAACTCAAGTTTGCTTTTTCTTTTATCTGTAAAGGCCAGGAAACCGAGAGTTTTTGCCATTTTCCAAACATTTTATTAAAGTGGATATAGCCGGTTTTGCACGGATGTTCCTCAATTAAAGTAGGCATTTGGTACTAATAACATTCCTTTAGAATATTTCTTTTAAATTTTAGTTTTATAATTTTTTGCCAAATTTAAAAGTTGGACCCTTAGCATCATTAACAGGAACTCTCCTTCTTTTTTCTCCATGTTGCTGATGGACTTTTTAAATTTTAACATAATGATGCCCCCTGCATTATCCATCACAATAATTTTTTTTTGGTAAAACATTCTATAATCAAGTATTTTTTAATATAACAGTTTCTTGGGATGTTACACTGACACTTTTTGATTTTTCTTTATGTTTCCTTACCATATCAGGAAGTATTATTCTTTGACCTCGTCCTATATGTTGCTCAGATTTATTTTTTAGAACAGATTAAAATTTAAAAATAATTGTCTCTGGTTATTTTAAAGGATTTTATTAATTATCAACAAAGCCAATAAATCACAAAACAAACCTTCTGAAAAAAAAATTCTTTCTATAATTAAAGTATTTTTGACAAATTGACAAAAAATAATATAATGTTATTATTTTAATAATATAACAAGTCTTGCTGGTGTGTTGTATAATATTATTGTCAGTTTAAAAATTGGTTTTTTGAAGCATTGGCACCGCTCTATAAGAAAATGTTTAGTGTTGAGAGCTACGTTATATCAAATACCCAACGTATTACAGAGAGGTCTTCAAATTTGTGCCTGTGTAAATAAAACCACAATTTTAACCATCCTGATTGGTCTAAAATAAATCCTATTTAACTCAACGCTTTATTCTTAAATGAAATACACTATAGTTTATTATTGTTACTATTATGATCCATTCTTAACAATATTAAACTTACCAAATTTGATACTAATAATAAAGTAAGGTTAAAGAAAGAAAATTAATATCATACTATAGTGGTCCATTTTTGCACATGATTTATAAAAAAATTATTTAAAATTGTAAAAAAAACTAAAAAATAATAGAATTTTGCTAGAGAAGACAATTAAAAAAAAAACTATTAGCAAAAAAACAAAGGATTGTCGGACATAATTTACTGAAAGTAATAAACGTCAGTAAATCATATGGTACACAACAATACATTTTTTATAACGTTGTTACCACCACTGCGAATCGCACATCCCGCAAAATAATAAAACATCGATACCAAACATCCATATGCCGATAGCGAACCGCCGTTGAAGTAAGTTTTTCTCTCCTCAGCCCCCCCTTCGCCCCCCACCAATGAATCTTCTCCTCGTCCGCGCGGGATTCTCCTTGTCTCTCGGCCGCCCAAGATTGCTGGGCCACCTCTAGAGAACAGTGTTGCCAAGAGTACCACATGCAGTGAACCACTGGGAAATATATATTAGGGTGATTCATTTCCGCAAAGTTTTTTTTTTTTTCGGTGCTCAAGCAAAATATTAATCTGCATATAGGAAAAAACATTCTCACCAAGTTTGAGCTCTTAATATTAATTTTAAGCACTTACTATTTAAGTTTTACCGTTTAAAATGCATGTAAAAAATATATATATTTTTTTCAAATTTCTAATGCTTACCCACCTTTGACAATATTGCAAATCGGTTTAATACACCCTATGGGGAATTTCACGTTCTTTAAAATTGCTTTTGAGTTTTTTTTTGTAACTCGCATTGGTCCACCAGTAGGAGTCGTCAAGGACAGTTTTTGAAAAAAATCATTTTTTTTTATTTTTTCGAGCAAATCGCCAAAAGTAGTGAGAAAAAAGGGCTGATTCATAAAAAAAAAGTTATCCAACAAATATTTAATGAATTTACTGCCATTTTTATAACTGAAAACGTAAGAAATTGATAAATACCAACCCATAATGTTATTTAGATTGATTTTTTTTAAATAATTATGATTTCTGCCTCATAATGAATATGAAAACAACACATAAATTTATAAAAAAAAACAACAAAACTTTAATCGGAATATACAGAAGGTTATGTAACATATTTCAAATTTCGCTTCAAAAAGTTAAATAATCTTCATTTATATTTTTTTGCTATATGACAGAAATGTTGAAAAATTGCAAAATCCACGTTAAAATTTTCTTATTGTTTTTTATGAATTTATCTGTTGTTTTCATATTCATTATAAGTGAGAAATCAATAATTTAAAAAAACTTCTTAGTGTAGGGAAATATAATGATAATAAATAGAAAATATCAATCTAAATAACATTATGGGTTGGTATTTATCAATTTCTTACGTTTTCAGTTATAAAAATGGCTGTAAATTCATTAAATATTGGTTGGATAACTTTTTTTATGATTCAGCCCTTTGTTCTCCCTACTTTTTGCGGTTTGTTAGAAAAAATTTAAAAAAAAAAAACGATTTTTTTCAAAAACTGTCCTTTGACGACTCCTACTGGTGAACCAATGCGAGTTACAAGAAAAACTCAAAAGCAATTTTAAAGAGCGTGAAATTCCCCATAAGGTGTATTAAACCGATTTGCAATATTGTCAAAGGTGGGTAAGCATTAGAAATTTGAAAAAATATATATATTTTTTACATGCATTTTAAACGGTAAAACTTTAAATTTAAATAGTAAGTACTTAAAATTTATATTAAGAGCTCAAACTTGTTGAGAATTTTTTTTTTCTATATGCAGATTAATATTTTGCTTTAGCACCGAAGAAAACAAAAACTTTGCGGAAATGAATCACCCTAATATATATATGATTTTAAATCAGCCTTTGCCTTATTTTACACTACTTTTTTTTTTAATAAAAAAAGCGTTCTTTTATACAAAATATTTCTCAATAAACTGTCAAAACATTTAAAACTAATAAAAACAGAAATACATTGTTTGTACTCCAATTGGACTTTCTGAAGACCACTTGGCACCACTGCCTGAGAACCAACCTGTTCGTGACGTCAGTTAAAACCAAAGAACCTGCGACTTGATTTTCAAACACACACATAAACACTAGAGCGGGTAGAAGTCGCAGCGCTACGCACACCGCGATCGAGAAAAATAAACACGCGCAAAAAGTCACCTGTGATTTTGTTTGGTAGAGACTGAAGGTGCCAACGTGTGATGTGCGGTTTTTAGAGTGCCTTGCCAGTGCCAAACATGGATAAGAGTTTTGGATAATTTGTGAGAATATTTGTGGAATTATTTGTGATAGCTTATAATGGATGAGGTATGTTTATATTATGTCTATTAACCCTCACAATTTTAAGAATTTAGAACATATATTTGTTTAAATCTTAAAAATATTTTTAAATTTTGTCCTTAAAAAACCTTAAAAAATTAGGCTCTAAAATTATCGAATCAATGGGTATCATTTGAAGTTCCAAATTAATTAATAGTAAAAACAAAACAAAATAATCCAACCTCACTTATCAATTGTTTATGTCTACGAAATGTTAAACGTGCATTTAATTACATAATATTTATAAACTCTACATAGCAACCTGATCGACTCAGATGTCAGATAGCGACATAAATATTGACATATCAAGATATTTCAAACCTTAACGTTTGAACATTAACATTATATTTATTCATTGAGTGTATTGGAGTTATTTATGAGTAAAAATAAAAGTTATTGTCGAGGAATTGCTCATATAAGTATATATCACATTCGCGTGGTCATGCTCAAGTTAATTCGAGTTTAGAAAAAAAGAAATTAAATGAAAAAATGGCAAGGATAATTTATTTCTATTTAAATAACTGCCATGACTTTGTCAATGCTATAACAAAAACCTTAAAAATAAAAAATATTGACTTGATATGTAGCAAGGCTTTCTAACCTAATAATTTAATCTGATTTTAGTAATTTATTAACTTCAACATTATCTTTATCCACTTAATATCGTGTAACAATTGGGATAGGTTTTCAAAGATTGTTAATGATTAATATTAATTGCAATAGGTCCTAAATTTAAAAATTCACTCTAGGTATATCATTAACAAATGACGAACGAACGAATGAAATCCTAACCTTACCAATTGTGCCGTTTTTTTAATCACCACTTCGTTTTAATTTAAAACACTTGTCACTAATATTTTCCATTTTAAATATGTGTTCTAATTTTTTTCACGTATAAAATAGGTTTACGAACAGAACTGGTTAACTAAATTGGCTTATTTTGAAGATGGCTTAATCCGAATGTGGAGGGGGTAGAATTTAATAAAGTGGTAAAAATCAAACAGGCATTTCTGTTAACCAAATTGACCAATAAAAAAGTTTTTTTTAACGAGTTTTAATAAGTACATCAAGGGTACTCCATGAAACTACAATAAAACTTTGCTTCAAAATGAATTAAATTCAACTTGCTATTTAATCCTTTAAAAAATCAAATTAGTTTTAAAATTGCCAATTATAGCCAGTATTATAATAGGTATTATTATAGGAGCAAATAGTTTTTTATTTAATTTAAAGAGTAAAGAGTAAATTATTTGCATAAGAATAAATGGCCTTTAAGAACTTTTAGTTTACCTTAAGGTAACTTTAAAATCAATATCGTTTTATTGAACATAAACAAATCAAAAGTATCTTACAATACTTGGGATAGTATATTTCAATATTTGATATTAATTACTTAATATTATTAATCATTATACAATGTATCCTTAACGTGATAGAAGGATAACAAATATCTAACATTAAATTAAATAAAAACATTAAAACAATAAAGTATCCTGGAAAGATTAAGAAAATCCTTTTCCTCAAAAATTTAGTGCTACTATATACCTAGTAACATTTTTAATAAGTAACTTTTTTAGTTTTACTTTCTGTTGACTATCCTATTGTTTTAAAGATTTCAGATTTTAAACAGCTATATATACTATATTTTTTGTAAATAAGAAAAATTACATGATTAGGATCTGTTAAAATGGAGTTATTTTTTATTGCAATCATTACACACTATGTACACGGACTGGATGATAACCTTTACTAAATTTTTGGGCCAAACTTAAACAGTGCAATCTGCATAGGAAAAAGGGGCATTTTTTGATAGGGTAAACCACATAGTTAATGGACACTTAAGGAATATTATTTATTTAAAATTTATATATTTACGTTTACTTAAAAATAAGAATATTTGAATTTTTAATAATAGTTTTATGAAAACCTGCAAAAAAGTATAGTAATTGGACATTTTATATAGTAATTGGGCACATGGACCATAGTTATTGGACATACAATTTTTATATAAACATAACAACTTTACATAAAATAACATACATTGTTAAATATTTTTAATGATAAATTGATGTTTTAGGTAATTTTTTTTATTTTGTAAATATCATATAATTCATATATTTCGTTCTCGAATTCCTTATCCCTTTTCTGGATTCTGAAGGTAACTACTAATTCCTTGGTCTCCTTATTAATTTTGTTGCCATTAGTTTTTATGTTCTCTATCATGTCCTGTATTTAAATTACTGGTATTCTGCAAGATGTCCTATGACGCAGAAATCACTATATTCCTTACTCTCTAAAAATGAATTAGTCAAAAATGTCATATCGAAAAAGCAGCCACTAATAATTCTCGTCAACAGCAACTTGTATCCAGGCCATTTAGCAGTCAATTTCTATGAAATATTATTCGCTTAATCCGAAAATGTGGTCAAAAGTTATAAAAGTAGAACAATTTTACATAAGAATTAAATGGTAAATGTGCGGGATACAAATAGAGTATGATATTGGACATATGTCCAATAATAGAAATTTATATTTTTTTACCAACCAGTAATTGGACACTGGTCATTTTACTGTTTGTTTTCAGAATTAAAATTAAAACGCATTAAAGTGGCAATGTTTAAACCCCACACTGATCTGTACACTTTTTAGAAATATTTTTTTATTTTTAAAAACAGGATTAAATCGAATTATTTATACCTATAGGTATACTCTTTGTTTTCGTTGTTGTTTCTGTCATTTATACTTTTCTAGTATTTTTCTGGTAAATTTAAGTTTGTATATTAAAACCAGAGTATGATATTGGACATATGTCCAATAATAGAAATTTATATTTTTTTACCAACCAGTAATTGGACACTGGTCATTTTACTGTTTGTTTTCAGAATTAAAATTAAAACGCATTAAAGTGGCAATGTTTAAACCCCACACTGATCTGTACACTTTTTAGAAATATTTTTTTATTTTTAAAAACAGGATTAAATCGAATTATTTATACCTATAGTATACTCTTTGTTTTCGTTGTTGTTTCTGTCATTTATACTTTTCTAGTATTTTTCTGGTAAATTTAAGTTTGTATATTAAAACCACCACAACGATTTTGCATTTTTTTCAGTTAGTTTTGTAATTACTAATACTACAGTAATTGGAATAATTCAATATAAAAACGCTCACTTCTGAAATATTAAATTAATAATCAATTTACTATTTTTGTTAAGTAACCAATCCCAAAACAGTTTTCTTCGTGTAGACATGTAATTAGACTAAAACTTTCAAAATTAAATTTAAACAATTTATATATTTTTTTACATTAAAAAAATTAAAATTAATATGCTGACTAGTCGTAACTTTTAATGAAAGAAATAAAATTACAATGGTAAAACTGAGGCCTGTCATTTCTCGTGATTTAAACTAATTATGACTTACCAATGTCTGTAGTTAAGAGGAGTTGTAGCATTTATGGCCGTAAGTTAATTGTAATAAAGTCGTTTTTGAATTGCTACATAAAATGTAACAAGGTCGATGTTTAATGCTTAAGTTACTTAAGTATATAGAATACGCATACTTTAATTTGTAATAAGTATTTAAAATAAAAAGGTAATTATAAAATATGAATGCGATGCGAAAGTAAACTTTAATTATACACTAAAATAATGTTAAAGAAAAAGATTTTATTTGGAGACTCCAATAGCCGCGAAACGACGAACCTTTTTCACAAATTGTGTGATTTTATGTAACCCCAGTTTAAAGTGATATTTATTTATTAAATAACAAAAATAACCACATAGTTACTAAATACTTAAGAAATATTATTTATTTAAAAATTATATATGCCGTTGTTTTAAATATTTTAGTTTTTTCTTATAAATATATACTTAAAAAGGATAGTTTGTTTGTTTAAACTTTATATGTATATAAAGTTATACGTTTACTAAAAAATAAGAATATTTGAATTTTTAATAATAGTTTTATAAATACATGCAAAAAAATATGGTAATTAGACATTTTATATAGTAATTGCCTATAGTTATTGGACATACAATTTTTATATAAACATAACAACTTTACATCAAATAACATAAATTGTTAAATATTTTTTAAAGATAAATTGCTGTTTTAGGTAATTTTTTTATTTCGTTTTTGTAAATATCATATAATTCATATATTTCTTTCTCGGATTCCTCATCCCTTTTCTGTATTCTGAAGGTAATTTATTCCTTGATCTGACTTTTGAAATAGTTTATTGCGAATATCATTATGGTATCTCTAGTTTGTGAAGCATATTTAGGCCGGAACAGGAAAATTTATATATTTCTAATGTTTTTTCGAGTGGTATGTTACAAGTATTTACCGAATTTATTAATTTTGATGCCATTAGTTTTTTATGTTCTATATCATGCACTGTATTTAAATCACTGTTATTCTGCAAGATGTCCTGTGACGAAGAAATCACTATATTATTTACTCTCTAAAAATGAATTAGTCAAAAAGAGAGTAAGAAATTGACACTATTTCAGACTTCTAAGGGGTGCCAAATAAAAGTAAAGCAACAAAAAATTTAAACGGCAACGGATTTTCAAATTTGACACCTAAAAGATCATCAAATTTTTTCATCAAAACAAAAAATCATGCAGCGCACCCCATTTGGTGTTTATATTTGGAATAGAGGTGCCGCGAGACACGAGACACGAGACGTCTCGTCTCGTCTCGTCTCGTCTCGAAGCCATTTTGTCTCGTCTCGAGAGCATTTTGTCTCGAATTTCGAGACGAGACGAGACGAGATAACATCCTTCGAGACAAGGCGAGACGAGACGAGACGAGACATATTCGAGACATATTCGAAATATTTTAATGACTTAATACGCTTTAAACGAATGATAATAACAGCATTTAACCCTTAAGTAGTCGCGTGGTCGGTGTGACGTTACTTCTCGCGTGGGGCCATATGGCCCCAATGGGTAAATATGGCTATTTTTCCAGTTTTTTTTCTT